AATGTGAACAATTCCGGAACAGGAATTCTCTCTTGGCTTTTATCCCAGGGCACCGAGAGTAGCCCAAAGTTAGAATATTCTGTTACAATACAAACACTGAAATCAAAGCGTAGTAACGGCAACTAGTTAAAAAAATGTATTTGGCAATGTGTGCTGTTACAGCAGGCCCTCCAGTAGGAGGGGAGGACCTTTATCTATGTGGAGCTGTGAGCAAGCAGCCTTTATTCCCGCCCTTGCCAATAAATGACATATTGGTGAAATAAGCGAAGCTGGTACCCTTAGTATTCATGGCTTCCTGGGATATATGACAATATTTGACGGTAGCCAAATAATAGAGAATGAATCGATCGGTCACTTACAATTCCCAACACCCACCCTGACGCTTGCCTTCTTTCTTTACCTTATCCTCTTCTTTACCTGAATGAATGTCTGAAGGGAAGCTCGGCTGGAAGCACTAACCCTGCTGTATGCCCGTGGGCCGGTACTGTGATTATGGATCTGCTGATGGGTAAATTGTTGTCAGCTAGTTTTATGCAACAGCTTATTTTAAAATTTGGAGTGTGTGTGTGGGGGGTATCTGATTGGGAAAGGACGGCCTTTGAAATGCTCGTAATATTGGGAAGGGAAAGGCTTGCAGAACAACCTATCTAAAAACTTTGCATTTCCTCTGCTGTAAGGTTTGGAAGACGCCATATTCTATTTAAATGATAGCTCCTCTTCACTAAATAGGGCTGTAAAGTACTTTTTTGGCTGGGTCCCTTTGATGGATGACTTGACAGATCAACTCAAGTTTATTTCATCTAAATGCTTTATCCAGCATGCACATCCCCCCCCCGGGACACTCCACCACTGTCCTTCTGTGTATCCTGACAATGTTATCTGTCCTCTCAGTGCGGAGTATCAAATGTCTGTCACGAGTATAGAAATTAATTTAATGTCACCTGAAGACATGCAATTAATCTTTTGGAGGTTTTCATAATACCTTTACAGAAAGAGTTGCCAGTTTGGCGGATTTGGATTTTGGGGTTTAGTTGAAGATAAGGAAAATTAATTTTTCATCAGGGTTAATGCAAGCTAGCTGGGCCACAAAGGCTGAGAGAGATGGTTGGGGAATTTGTCAAGTGTTGTCACTCTGGAATAATGCTGCTTAGCGTCTGATAGGTGTAATCAAGAGTTGAGATTTCTATAGGAGGGGATTAATCAATTTGCTTGCTACAGAATGCAAGTTAGCGATATCCCTCGTTCTTGGGGTTTTAAGAATTAAAATAAGATTTGATCTGTCAAATTGCAAGAGGCTCTGACACTATCAGTGGGCAGGGTGTTTTTTTTTTTAATCAGGACATCCTCAAAGCATTTGTTATAAATAAATTTGTCCAGCTAATATTGGTGGCAAACAAATTTCATCTTCATTGTGAAGCTGTCATCTGTGGTAGAGTGCACGGCTTACAAAACTCTGGCACCCCTCTGTGGGTCTTTCTTACTACCCAAAAGTACATTTTTTACATATGGTCTCTTAAATGTCTGGCGATAAGGACACACTTCTGAAACCCCCCCAAAAAACCCAATTGAAGCAGATATGGTTGAAATTAAGAATAAAACATTTGGTGTGACTCAACACAGTAGGGCCTTCAAGATGAACAATTACATGGACGGCTTCAAGAGGGAATTAGATAAGCATATGGAGCAGAGGTCCATCAGTGGCTATTAGCCACAAGGTATAGATAGGGACTCTGGGGCAAGTGATGCTCTGTCTTCTTGGTGCTTGTGGGGGTCAACAGTGGGAGGGCTTCTAATGTCCTGGCCCCACTGGTGGACCTCCTGATGGCACTGGTATTTCTGGCCACTGTGTGACACAGAGTGTTGGACTGGATGGGCCTTTGGCCTGATCCAACATTGGCATCTCTTATGTTCTTATGTTCTTAATTAGGACTACATAAGATCCAAGGGGCCAGGGGTGACATCTAAAGATGAAATGCCAATGAGCCAGCCATCTTAGTCCAAAGCACTTGGGAGACCACCAAGAAAGTCCAGGGTTGCTATGCAGAGGCAAGCAATGGCAAAAGCCACCTCTGAGCATCTGTTGCTTTGGAAACCCTGTGATGTCACCATATGTCAGCTGCGACTTGATGGCAAAAAAAGTGCACTATAATGACGGGGCACACAGATAATTTTTTTTTTATCCCGTAGTTGCATTCCTCTTTAAATCTGCTGGCTCTTGTATTTGCAGATCAACCGTTTCAAGTTTCAACGCAACCAGAGCTTTGTCACTTCACTTATAACTTGCAGTAGGTCGGCTTCGTCAAGCGTATCATCCCCACCCCTTGGCTATCCCTTGACACACAAAGACCATTAGCAAAAAATTGAAGCGTATTTGAAAAAGTGCTCTTAATTTGCAACGAGGGCACGGGCAGGCTTTATTCTTTCAAAGTTTGAGGATCAGCAGATCTCCCAAAGCGTTTCATGAGCGTAACTTGCTGGCTGGTTAGTGGCTCCATTCTGAGACTTGCTACCTCAGCAGAGGTGTTGAGGATGGGACAGGCGTGCTGCTGTGAGCTCAGCTTCAGAAGCCATGCGTGATGCTTGCATTGCAGGCAGGCAGCACGGTGGATGCTCCAGCAGGAACATTTTACTTTACGAGGTAAAAAAGGCTTTGGAAAGGCAAACCTAGCAGAAGTTTCATTCTACTGGCTGTTGGTCCCACGGCAGCAGTAAATGTGCATTGAAATGTTTGTAGACATTATTTTTAGAAGTGTTTGTGTCTCTTTAGGATGCAAAAAAGTCTAGGGTTGCATTTTAACCTACAAATGCTCCTCCTAATAATGCTTTGGAAGAATTGCCTACTATTGGACTGGTAGATTTCTGTGAATAATTTGGCCACGTCCGTGGAATCTGCTGCTAGGGGTCAGAATGGATGCAGGAGAAGGGGGTAGACTTAAGACGCTGCATAAAGAATGTAAGCACCCTGCTGTACCATACTAGCAGTCCATCTGGTCCAGCGTCCTGTCCCCCTCCCCCCAAAAAATGGTTAACTAAATTCTTGGGCTCCAAGCGCAGCATGAAGACAAGAGACTTGTACTGCTGAATTTTCCTTTTCCTTTTAGTATTCAGGGCCATATCACCTCTGAACATGGAGGCCGCATTGAACTACCATGGTTAAGAGCAGTCAGCAGACCTGTTCTCTGTGAATTTTGTTTGTCTTCCTTTGGAAGCCTTCAGAGCTGGTGACTGCTATCACATCAGGTGTCAGCGAAATTCCACAAGTGGTGTTTGAAAGCATTCCATTGTGCCCTGAATCCACGGCCAGTCAGTTTCACCGAGTGACCTCAGGGTCCAGCAGTGAGAGAGTGAAATTCTTCTCTCCACTTTCTCCGTACTGTAGTTTTATAAACTCACCATGTTTCTGCTTAGTTGTCTTAAAGAATAGGTATCCTTATCCTTGTTAAATTGCATCTTGTTCACATCCACCCACTTTTCCAGCATGTTCAGACCTCGCTGAATCCTGTCTCTGTCTTTTGGTGTGTTTGCTGCTACTCCCAATTTAGTGCCATTTGCAGATTTGATGAGTAGCCCCTCCACACCCTCATCCAGATGATTTATAAAAATATTGAAAAGTACTGGACCCAGAACCGAGCCCTGTGGCACCCCACTGGACACCTCCCTCCATTCAGATGAAGTGCCATCGACAACTACTCTCTGAGTGCGGTTCTCCAACCAGTTCCCTGTCCACCTAACTATCCCAGAGTCCAGTCCAGAGTCCTCTAGTTTACCCAGCAGAACATCATGGGGAACTGCCACATCACTGCCCCTGAGGAATGGCTGAGTGAATCTGTGCCAGCTGCCACAGGAAGTGGTGGGTGCTACAAGCATGGACGGCTTCAAAAGGGAATTAGATAAGCATATGGAGCAGAGGTCCATCAGTGGCTATTAGCCACAAGGTATAGCTAGGGGCTCTGGGGCAAGTGATGCTCTGTCTTCTTGGTGCTTGGGGGGGGGTCAACAGTGGGAGGGCTTCTAATGTCCTGGCCCCGCTGGTGGACCTCCTGATGGCACTGGTATTTCTGGCCACTGTGTGACACAGAGTGTTGGACTGGATGGGCCTTTGGCCTGATCCAACATTGGCGTCTCTTATGTTCTTATGTTCTAACCCTGTCAAAAGCTTTACTGAAATCCAGGTAAACCACATCAACAGCATTCCCTCGATCCAGTAACCTTGACACTCAATCAAAGAAGGAAATTAGGTTGGTCTGGCAGGACCTGTTGGGGACAAATCCGTGCTGATTTCCCCCGGATCACCACGTTGTCCTTTAGATGCTCGCAGATCGATCCCGTTAAAATCTGCTCCAGTACCTTCCCTGAGACAGGGGTCAGTCTGACATCAACAGCATCCCCTCGATCCAGTAACCTCGTCACTCGATCAAAGAAGGAAATGAGGTTGGTCTGGCAGGACCTTTTGGGGACAAATCTGTGCTGATTTCCCCCGGATCACCACGTTGTCCTTTAGATGCTCGCAGATCGATCCCGTTAAAATCTGCTCCAGTACCTCCCCTGAGACAGAGGTCAGTCTGACTTGCCTGTAGTCTGGCTGTCATAGAAAGTGCTCCACTCCCTTGATTGTTTTGGTTGCTCCTTTTTTGTACGGGTCTGTGGACAGGATATGGTCATGCAGTGGGGAGACTCCACCCCCCTCAGACTGATCCAATCTGTAGCTCTTGGGCTGCACCGCTCTCATGTCCAAGCCTGTTTTTTTATATACATATGATGCAGGACTGACTGTCAGTCCAGGACCTGGATGCATGTTGCCTCCATTGCATTTGCAACTGCAAAGGAGTTAAGACTTTTCTTATCCTGCAGCTTCAGGAGGGTGTTCCAATTCTGTATAATGCTAGATTCTGTTTTTCGCAGAATATGGGTACAAAGCGGTCTGGTCCTCGGTAACTCTTGGTAGGAAATACGCGTGGCATTTTGTAGGCTCCTGAACCGCATGTCCTTGTCTTCCTCAGGGTGGCGAGAACGTTGGCCTTTCTCACCCAGAGGGGCCTCCCCACCGGCTCCAGCAACCAGCAGAGCAGAGACATCAGCCGGTGCGGAAAGTCACGTTGACGAAGGGGACAGTCCAGCAACCGCATCAGCACCAGCCCCATCATCCGCACCAGCTGGCACAGATTCACTCAGCCATTCCTCAGGGGCTGAAGAACATCCAGGGGATTCATCCAGCTAAAAAGGTGATCTGTTGGTCCAGATTTGCACTAGTACCATGCCGTTCGTTTGGGGGAAGAAAAAAGAAAAACAGAACAGCCAGAAATAACTGCCTCTGGTTGTCCGGACTCTGAACTTTAATTAATCATCTAAGTCGATTTGAGAAGCAGTTGAGGGGGAGGTTTTCTAATAATGGCATATAAAGTATTAAGTACCTTGCTGGGTTGTCATTTTGAAGTTAGCGCGGGTTACTGATGCCTGAAATGTCCCTGTCCACACCAGCAGTTCTATAGCCAACTTATAAAATGTGAAATTCACAGTTTATAAGTTGTCCACTGCGGTGGTAGAGAAATGCCCGGGACCATCGGTTCCTTTGTTCTACAGAGGATGGGTGTTTGTTGTTTTGTACCTCAGGAAGTTGCTCTTGCTTTTAGGCTGGTGGCGCCTCTGAAATCAGCAGCTGGGGGGAGGGCAAGGAATACTTTTCTGGAAGTCTGTATGATGTAGAGCCAGTTTGGTGTAGTGGTTAAGAGCGCGGACTCTAATCTGGGAGAATCAGGTTTGATTCCCCACTCCTCCACATGCAGCTGCTGGTGTGACCTTGGGTCAGTCACAAGTTCTCTCAGAGCTGTTCTCTCAAGAGCAGTCCTCGAAAGAGCTCTCTCAGCCCCACCTACCTCACAGGGTCTCTGTTGTGGGGAGGGGAAGGGGAAGGAGAAGGAGATTGTAAGCCACTCTTGAGACTCCTTCGGGTAGTGAAGGGTGGGGTATAAATCCAATCTCCTCCTCTTCTTGTTCTGAACTGAGGTGGGGACAGCCAGCCAGCCAGCAGGCAAAGCTAAACATCCTCAGGGAGGCAACAGAATAATCACTTCCTCTCGTAACACTGTTATTGCCGTTCCCACATAGCTGCACCTTTGCAACCAGTGAGGAACCCCGAGCATTTGACAGAGGAGTCCCAAAGATGTGGGCCTTTAAAATTTGCCGGCAGCGGCATGACACCTTTTTAATCGCCCTCTGCTTTCATCTTCTCCTTCTAAGCGAATCGCTAACTTTCCCGTTGTCTGTCAGGATGAGTTCAGGGAGACGGCGAGTGAATCAGCAATGCAGCTCACCTTATCTTTTGCCGGCAGGTCATCATGCACGGGAGAGGCAGAGGCATGGCGGGCCAGATGGGCCGAGGCCGCTTGATGCCGAACAAACAGAACCTGCGCGTGGTGGAGTGCCGGCCGCAGCCCTGCGTCGTGTCAGTTGAAGGGCTTTCTTCGTCAACTACCGATGTCCAACTGAAAAACCTGCTGATGTCGGTAGGACCCATTCAGGTAGATCACCCCGGGCTTCCATTCCTCGTGCCAGAAATCTTTCATCCTACGAAGCTCCCTGTAATGACTAGGAAAAGCGTTTGGGGTGGGGTGAGGGGGGGGGACGTGAGTGGTTAACGACATACATTTAGCGGTGCTTCCCCCTCCCCTCCCGGTTGGGCCTGAAAGGAAAAGATTTCCAGATCAAACAGCTGACATTCAGCAGTGGTGCAAGGAAAACAGAGCAGAGGAGAATGTGTAGAAGGGTTGGAACACTTTCCCTATGAGGAAAGGTTAAAGCGCTTAGGGCTCTTTAGCTTGGAGAAAAGACGACTGAGGGGTGACATGATTGAGGTTTATAAGATTATGCATGGGAAAGAGCAGGTAGAGAAAGAGGTACTTTTCTCCCTTTCTCACAATACAAGAACTCGTGGGCACTCCATGAAATTGCTGAGCGGTCGGGTTAGAACGGTTAAAGGGAAGTACTTCTTCACCCAAAGAGTGATTCACGCATGGAATTCACTGCCACAGGAGGTGGTGGCGGCTACAAGCATTGACGGCTTCAAAAGGGAATTAGATAAGCACAAGGGGCGGACCTGCAATACTCCCGGGGGGGGAGGCAGAGGAGGAAGCAGCAGGAGGAGGTAAGTACCCCCCCCATCCCGCCGGTTCCCCCCGTCTCCTCCACTTTGGGGGGATTTAAGTATCCCTCCGATATTTTTTCTGGGTTTTTAGATTTTTGTGCACACCTGGGGACTGCCCCAAGTGTGCACAAAGACACTCTGTCAGTTTCGGGGGGATTTAAACATCCCCCCGATATTTTTTACAGGGTTTCTGATTTTTGTGCACACCTGGGGACCGCCCCACGTGTGCACAAAACTCTCCCTCCCCTCCAGTTACCCCTGATGTGCGGAAATAAGTATCCGCACACCAGGGGGCGACTTGGCTATTAGATATATAGATATGGAGCAGAGGTCCATCAGTGGCTATTAGCCACAAGGTATAGATAGGGACTCTGGGGCAAGTGATGCTCTGTCTTCTTGGTGCTTGGGGGGGCCAACAGTGGGAGGGCTTCTAATGTCCTGGCCCCACTGGTGGACCTCCTGATGGCCCCTGGTATTTCTGGCCACTGTGTGACACAGAGTGTTGGACTGGATGGGCCTTTGGCCTGATCCAACATTGGCGTCTCTTATGTTCTTATGTGTCCTGCTGTTGCTCTCTTGCAGCTCCTGTCACACAAAAAAACCACAGGCTGCTCCTGAGAGAGAGCGCTGGGAGCATTTAAAAAAAAAAAAAAAGCACCTAGAGAAATAATATTGAAACCCCAAAAGAGTAATGTGGTGTTAGATGGAAGTGTTGGGGAAGGGGTTTGATGTTGTTCCCCACAAACGGTTTATAGCCACTGTCTTATCCACATGAGCGAGAATGATTATTGTAAGGGGCGTCTGGATTCCCTTTCCCCTGCCACTCCCCGTGTGTGGAGAGGAGACTGGTAGGAAGGCGCAGCCAGGTGGTTCTGCAGTCATTTGACCGCAGGCAGTGCAGGCGTCGGAGATTAGTGACGGTCCCGCCATTGCACAGGGGAGTCTCCCATTTCAGACGGTGGCCTCCAAGTTAGTGTGAGCTAGCTCACATTTTTTTGCCTCCGGCTCACACATTTTTGCCTTAGCTCAGGAAGGATGCCCCCCCCCCCGAGCAAACTAATTCATGCAGCAGCTGAATCTCTCGCTTTCAACTTTAATGCCAGTAGCTCACAAAGTCGCATTTTTGCTCACAGGATTCCACAGCTTAGAGGGAGCATTGGTTGCCTCTATGCCACGAGGGGGTAGAAATGAAAGAGTTTGGACTGAGGCATGCTTATGGGGTGAGATCTCCTCCCATCAATAAAATCTTCAGGATTCGGGATTCAGCAATGTTTTGGGGTGGGGTTACGGTATGTGGATCTTCCTACTTTTAAAGTTTGGAAGCATAAGGTTCTCAAAGATAGCAGGATTGTTCAGCAAACGCCAGTAGGAACATGGCAACACTGCTGGATCCAACCAGATCCAGCCATCTAGTCCACCATCCCCTTCTCATCAGTGGCCAGACATAGCGCTGCAGGGGTGTCCACAGCCAGGTCCTGCAGAAAGCCCTTCCGTGCCGAGCGTTCTCCAGATTCTGACAATCAGTGGCATTCGGCCTTTGAACCCAGAGGTCACCACATTCAGTTAGACCTGAATCTTTCCAAGCCCTGTCGGTACCGTCTTGTTCGTCTTGATGCAAGCATCTGATGACAAGCAGTGTTTCAAAGCGTGCAGAATGAACTAATAGAGGAAATTGTACCCTGACAACCCGACAGTGATGGCCTGAACACCCTTAAAACTTGCTCAGAGTCTGTCACACCAGTGGCCACGTTGCCCAACTGGGAGGAAATTTTGCCCCAGGCCAGACCAGGTGGTAGGGGCCATGGTTTCGTCTGTGGCTGCGCAGCAGCTTGCAAGCACCTGGACTTGTTTGGTCTGCAGGAATCCTTGTGTACTTCACCTGCTTTTTGTTTGCTGGTGTGGGTCGATACTTGGAAAGGGGCAAATGCTCTTCCTTTACAACAGACAGTTGGGCTAGAACAAGGCAGTTGTGTGATTTAACAAGACAGGAAACATAGGCTCAGAGAAGATGGTCCATAGCACTGCTATTTTTTATTATTATTATTATTTTAGATTTCTATACCACCATTGCCTGCCCGTGCAGGCTCAAGGCAGTGTACTTAGATTAAAATGCCATAAAATACAAATGCATAAATTAAATACATAGATTACAATGCATATACAATGCAATGAATATACAATGCAATACATAGATTACAAATACATAGATTAAAATGCCATAAAGTGCAAATGCATAGCGTAAAATTCAGACCCTAATATACATAAAGTACAATTGATAGAGACGGTGTTTACTGGCGTTTAGGCCAGTATCCAGTTGTCTTTATGACGGTAATTTAGCATGGGCTTTGATGGTTCAGTTTCCAGCGCTCATCCCTCAGTGGCAGCTCCTAATCGAATTTAGAGATGCTCGAACACCTGCCAGTTCAGCTGACATCCTGTTTGCCATAGGTCATCAGGCAGTCAGTTAATGATTGGCTGTTTGGCTTTTCACAACCGATTTGTGTGTATTCCCAGGAACAGGCTGCATACAGCCATCAGCAGACAACTCCCAGCTGATGAGCGATCAGCTGGGGGTTGGTGTCCGATCTCCTCCTGGGAGAATCTTGCTCTGTACCCAGAAAGAGTTTTGGGGTGGAGACTCCTGAAGTTGGGTTCTTCTGACCTCCTTTTCTCGAAACTTTGCTGCCTCCTAGACTTCCCGAAAGGCAGCAGATGGGGGGGGGGGTGTTGGTCACAAGGATAGCCGGTTTCCCTTCTCCCCCCACCCCAAGCGGTCGGCTTGTGCTGCAGGGAAATGGAGAGAAAGGAGCTCTTTTCTCCCTTCTGCAGTGCAGAGATCAGAAGCAGATTTACTTGTTTCCCTGACTTGCCGGGAGGGGAGGGGAGAGAAAGGAGCGCCTTCTTCTCTCCATTTTGCAACATCCCCATTTAGCTGCTTTGCCGAAGGAGCAGTGGCAGAACCTAAGCTGTAAGCCAACTTCTGATCAACAAGCAGACTGCAGCCTTGCGCAGTCTGATTGTTAGTGCTGAATGCCAGGCAGGTTCGCCGCCTTCTTCTCTCCATTTTGCAACATCCCCATTTAGCTGCTTTGCCGAAGGAGCAGTGGCGGAACCTAAGCTGTAAGCCAACTTCTGATCAGCAAGCAGACTGCAGCCTTGCGCAGTCTGATTGTTAGTGCTGAATGCAAGGCAGGTTCGCTGAGATATGCACGGCATCCCTACGGGTATTTGGAGTCTGTGCGAGGGGTTATGAAGCTCCATGTTGGGAAGGGTTGGATGTTGTTTTAAAACACCCCCTCTGCCAGATGGCAAAATTGACACTGTTCCCTGAGGAGCTTGCCCAGCTTTCTTTGACCTACCCCAGCCCCGCATAAATTCCTTTTGCCGAATGGCTTTTTTAAAAAATCCATATTTTCAGGACAAATGGACAACATTGTTAACATATAGATTCTGGGATGGATAGAAGAAATAATAAAATGACTTGTATACATGCAAGTGGGGGTTGCGGTGGCTCAGGGGTTAAGATGCTGAGCTGCAGACCGGAAGGTCTGTAGTTCAGCAGTTTGAGACCCGGGTGCCGCGTGACGGAGTGAGCTCCCATCTGTGGTCCCAGCTCCTGCCAACCTAGCAGTTCAAAAGCAAGAATTTGCAAGTAGATAAATAGGAACCACTTCGGTGGGAAGGTACCAGTGTTCCGTGCGCCTCAGCATTTAGTCATGCCGACCACATGACCACGGAGAAGTCTTTGGACAGTGCTGGCTCTTCAGCTTGGAAATGGAGATGAGCACCGCCCCCTAGAGTCGGATTCGACTACCTTTCGAGCAAGGGGAACCTTTACCATTTTATACTGGCAAGGCTGTGGAATTACAGTACTACATTTAAAGAGAAATGGCGTATTATTTCTGGCATCTTTTTCTTCTGCCCAGTATCTGAGCCTTTCCTAATGCCTAGAGCACAGTAAGTTCCATGGTGACCCTTTGAGTAGCTGTGATTTTAAGAGAAACAGTATCTGTCCTATGTGTTGTAACTGGGGGGAAGGGTGACCTGCCATGTCAGAAAGTATCCCAGAATTCTGTTTGCATACCAGATTATAAAGTGTGCCCATACAAAATCTCATAGGTATAGTTCACTGTATAATGTGAAGAGTTTACACTGATTTTATAAACCCAGATAGTTGGGGAGGGAGCAGTTGAAGATGCAGCTAGGCATAGGCCTCCCTGGGCCACATGTTTCTTACAGGAGTGGAAGGGTGGTGTGATTGTCATTTCCTGTCCCCCAGCTCACGGCCTCTCATTTTAAGGACTCTGAGTCCTTTGGCATCTTAAATCCTAAAGATCAGCATTGGTATAAGCGGCCTGTGGTGCTGGTGCGGTGTCA